AGAGTCGGGACGGGGGCGCGAACCGGCCACCTCACGCTCGGCGGCCCGGCGCCGAGACCGCCGCGCCAGGTCGCCGCCTCACTTTCTTTCATAGAGTCACTGGAGGATCAAAGGAGGTCACGTGCCTGAGGTCCTGGCACGAGCTTGGCACCGGGCAGTACTCTGTAAGGATGTGCCAACACCGCAGAGCTCTTACTGTGTGTTGGCATAGTCCCATCTATACTGACATTCTTGCAGTGCTCGCGGTATCCCTGTGGCGTGGGCATTACGGCCTCATTTATTAGAGAAAGGGGGTTGGAAAGGGGTGCTTGCCGGGTCTGAATTATTCTGGGCACAGGGGCCATGATCAGCCACCGCCTGCAGAGAAGCGGGCTGTGATCAGCGTCTCTGCCCTAGGGAGGATGGCGGTGGACTTCAGTTAACGCCTCACCCCAACTCTTGCCTTCGTGCTTCTCTTAGACACCTACAACAAGAGTCTCACTACGTTGGTTTTTCGTGTGTGTGTGTGTGTCTAGGGATTGAACCCAGGGCTACCACACTAAGCTACAACCCCAGCCCTTTTTATTTATTGTTGTTTTTTGAGACAGGAGCTTGCTAGGCTGCCCAGATGGGACTCGAACTTGCGGTCTTCCTGTTTCAGTTGCCCAAAGTGCAGGGATCAGAGATGTGCGCTACTGTGCCAAGCCCGTTGTGTTTTTGCCTTGTTTCCCTTTCCTGCTTTGCACCTGCCCACTGCCTGGCTCTTCCTTTGCCTTTTCCCCTTGCAGGTGGAGCCTCTCTGCCCATCTTTTTGTCAAGCATGCGGAAGGGTCTGAAATTTTACTAACTGACAAAGAAATATGTTAGCCTGCTACAGTTCCATAGATGTTGGAAGAACACGTGAGATTCCTGGGTCAAAGGGACTTGCTATTCCCAGTATCAAAGGCAGCACAAGCTTCATGTTGGCGTCCACTCACGTTGTTGCAAACCTTATGGAGTGGCCAGGTGTATTCCGTGCACACTGAGGAGGAGTTCACACCACTGGTGCAAGTTCTGAGCTTCAGAATCGTCCGAATCATGAGAGGGCTGCTTACAAACCTCCCAGGCTTCGCTCTGCCTGAAGATATAATCTTTATCATTGTAGGGTGAAGACAGACTACTCTAAACTGACATACTTATTATCCTAAACAGTAAATAAATATGTAGCAAGAGAGACACGATAACCTAGGACAGTAAGCAAAACGGATCTGAGAAAGGTAACTATCTTGGCAAGGTTTCCTGGCAGGCAAACATTGTCAAAAAGGTCTTTCTGGGCATGGTGGTGCACACCGGTGATTCTAGCATTCAGGCTGAGGCAGGATCATGAGTCCCAGACTAGAGTGTGTGACATAGTGGGGCCCTTTTTTTTTTTTTTTTTTTTTTTTTGTGACCAGCTCAGCCTGCCCTGGGGGCAGGGCTAGCACAGCATGTGGTGCTGGGGGATGCAACAGCTGTCCCTGCACTTGCCTGAGCTTGCCTAAGCTTGCCTAAGCAGGCACTTTAGAACTGAGTTATCTTACCAGACCCACAGACCCTTTTTTTTTTTTTTTTAAAAGTGCTCATGCTTTGGTTTAGAAGACACACAGAAGCATGAGAGAACCATGGGGAATTGTCTCCCTAATGCTATGCAGACTGGGCCTTCTACCCTTGTCTGCAGGGCAACCCAAACAGACCATTGTCGAACTCTTTATCACATCTTGCTTCTCCAGCCTAGCCAAGGTTCTGCCCTGATCATACTCTGCTGACCATGTCAGACAGCAGCCCATTGCCAAACCCAGAATGAGAGTAGGCCTTGGAATCCCGAAGGAGCTGGGGAGCGGCCTCAGACTCCTGAGTTCTGAAGGAGGAGGAGCTGGAGGTTGGGTCCTTGGGTTCTGAACTCTTAGGTCTCTGAGGAATGAGACAGGTAAGGTCTGATATCCTGTGTACGATGTGTGAATGGTCTGGGGATCCAAGAATTCTGTGCCACAAAGAAGGGTAGGGTTAAGTTCCAGGTGTTTGAGGCTTGATACTTCTTGGTCCCTGAGGAGTGAGGACTAGAGGACTAGAACCACTGGCTCTAGGGTCTGGGGTGAAGGTAATAGGAACTCCAGATTCTCCTGGTACCACCAAAAAAAGAAAAAAAAAAAGGAAAAAAAAAAAGAAAAAGGAACTCCAGATTCTCAAAGGGATGGAGGACCAAGTAGTGCTCATTTCCCTGTCTTTCATTTCCTCTGCAAGTGTGGTACCGGGCCTGTCTGATATGCGCATGTGCAATGTTGCAGGGGCCTGTGGGATACATCATGTGTCCTTCAGCAACCTTTCTGGGAAGTTCACAATCACTATGTGATGTCATCTTGCTGCGACTAACAGGGCATGGTCTTTTGCAGCTGCAAAGTACCCTTTAAGCCTCCCACATCTACCCCAGAAAGCATCTCCTGTGTGCTGTTGGGCTGGACCACGGTGTTAAATGAGGAGCTGCTGACCAGACAAAACCATGGCTGAAAGGTGCTTGCGCACTGCCAAATGTTGCCATTGATGGAATCTCAAGTGTCCACTCCCGGGCTCCTCTCCTCCCTGATGACTCCCAGATATATCTCCGAGTGCCACCATCAGCATTCTCTCCGCTGCGCTGGACCAGACACCGACCAGGGCATCTGATGAGCACAATGGTGTGTGCAGGCTGGATGGAGGGTGGAACATGGACTCCCATGAGTTCAGAGCTGAGAGGGAACAATAAGAAAAGGACGTGGGCAGTTGAGGCTGAACAAGGTTGTGTTTGGTTTCCTGTGGCCAGTACAGTATATTCAAAGTAAATATTTGTTTGAGGGTAGAGAGTGAGGATCAGTTGGAGTGGAGGGTCTTCATGGAGTTGTGCTACAGATGGGGCAAGTTCTGCCCTTCTATTCAGTTTAGGGCTGATGATGTTAGGGTGTCTTGGGATGGCCCAAGTTCTGGCTGGAAATGAGCTTGTTTTGATGTTTGGTGGGGAGTATGTTCCGATTGGATTAGGGATGAGAGTAAGTTTGGTTTTGGGGATGGAGGATAGGCATTGGTTGGGTTGTGTTGGACCTATGAGGAAGCATTTGACTTGGCTTGAAATGGGGCTTTGAAGATATAGATGTTAGACTGAGTTAGATTTAGTTGCGTTGGGGTTGCATGTGATGCAGTTGGATTGGGTTGTGTTACGTGGCTTGGGTCAGGTTTTGTTGAAGTTGCCGTGGGGGTTAGAATACACTTGGGGATGCTGGATCCAGGACAGCCTCACACAGATGGAAACTACTTTCACAGGATGATTCCAGGAAACCCTTAATCCCCTCACTGGGGTACGTGCATGCGTGTGTGTGTGCATGACTGAACATATCTCTCTACCCTAGTTCTCATGGTCTTATGTTTTAATTACCTGGGTGTAGCGTCTCTCTCTCGTTACACTTTGAGTTTATTAGTCTTTAAGGAATGAGGGAAGATTCTGTCATGTTCTTTAGACGCAGCTAGTGCTGGATCCACATGAGCTGCTTTGTTTCTACCGAATAGTTCAGACAACTGACCTGTTGGAGATCTAGGTAATCTTACAGAGTTAACAGGGGAGTTGGCGATGCTCTTGTTCTTAGTTCTTGTCTGTGGCCCCAGCATGGGATTTTTATATTTATTTATTTATTTATTTTGAGATAGGGTCTCCCTATTCAGCTCAGGCTGGCCTCTAGTTTGCAGTGACCCTCCTGTCTCAGCCTCCTGACCTCCAGCACTGGGATTATAAGCGTGTGCCACCACTCCCAGAAACGGTTCAGGGGCTGGCCCGGCATGTGTACCAGGGATTGAACCCTGGTCCTTGTGACTGCCAGGCAGGCATTTGAAACACCAAACTATCTCCCCAGCCCCAATACCACTTAATCTTGAAGAACATAAATCTTCCTTCTTAAAAAAAAAGAAAAGAAAGAAAAAAACAACAAAAAACCCCTGGCTCCTGAAGTCTTTTTCTGAGAAGAGAGTGTTAGGCTCGGATCCAGAGAAGGAGGAGTAGGTGTTGTTGGAACTCCAGATTGCTTGGAGGTCACTGGATTTTGAAATGCTAAGAAACTCGATTTGGAGACCCATTTTTCTGGACTGGAGCACATGAGGCATCTGAGTGCCACATGAATCTGGGCATGCCTTCAATTCCAGTGCTGGGGAGGCTGAAAGCAGGAGGATCACCATGAGTCTGAGATGCATAGTGAGACCCTACAACAACTAAATACATTAATAATAATAATAATAATAATAATAATAATAATGAATCAAAGAGTTCTGGGTGCCAGGGTTTCTATTTCCAGGAGAGGAGATGGAGGCTTACAACTTTGGTCCAGAGTGGCATAGGCAGTTTCCTAGCCTCAGGGTATTTCAGGGGATACTGGGATTTGGGGTACCAAGGATGCTCCTGGGACTTAGGTACATGGGGCTTTGGATTGTGGTCCAGTCCTGCCCTCGTTCTGGCTCAGTGGGGGCTCTCTTTTCTGGCTCTGTCCCTCACATCAAGGCTTTAGGAGCCTCCTCAGGCCCTGGGAGTGCATCCAAGGTGATCTAGTTAGTACCTTTAGAACAACGAGTACTGGGTCCTCCTCCCCTCCTACAGTTCTCAGTGTGGAAGGAGGTGTCCAGTTCTAGCAGCAGGGCAGGGTCTTGGCTCGTGTCTGGGTGCCTCTAGGGCAAGAGCAGGGTCCTGGGGAGGATGAAGGCTTTATAAGGCTCCTCGGGGAATTTCTTCAGTTCCAAGCTTGCCACCTGCCTGCCCCTGGACACCTCTGTCACCATGTGGTTCCTGGTTCTGTGTCTTGTCCTGTCCTTAGGGAGGACTGGTGAGTCAAGAGTGGGGCGACAGAGGAGGAGGAGGTCAGGAGGGGAAGGAGAGGGAGGAGGGGGAGGAGGAAGAAAGGCCCAGATTCTCATCTGCCCTCATCCCCCAGAAGTCCTTCCTCTCCCACTCAGCACTCAGCCACGTCCCTCAGCATGCAGTCCACCCCACACTAGGGTGCTGGGCTTACTCCTGTTGCTCACAGCCCTGCCCTGAAATCCTACCCCCAGCCCCTCTCCCTTGCCAAGTGCACCAGAGACCTCATTCCTGCCTTAGGTCCCGCTCCCTCCCGGGAACTCTGGAACACTCTTCTCCCAAGTCAACTTCCTGCCTCCAGCCACTTTCCTAAAGGGGCAGATCTTGAGCAATTTCTGTCTCTCTTCGTGGGGCTCACACTTTAAATATCTTTCTTGGTGAGAAATCTGTCTTCAGAACCCTGCAATTCTGCCAGATTCTACTGATTTTTCCCAGTACCCCAGACCTCAACATCTGTCTCCCACTCCTGCTCCCATGGAAACCATTTTATCCAATGCTCTGCTTCTTTCCAAAGCCAGGCTGTCTGTGCCGTGACAATAACCCCTTACCTGGAATTGGCCTTCTGCAAATGCCTCCTTGTTCCCTCTTTTCCCAGACCCCATCAGTGGCTGATCTTTGTGCAGGAAAAACATGTAGCCCCTGACTGCATCTGCCACTCATCTAGGGGCTGGTTCCCTCACTGCAGCTTCTTCAGGACCTCTGAGGACACTTTCCAGTTCCAAATTGTTCCCTCAACCCTGGGCCTCAGATGCTGCCCAAATCTTCTCTCCCAGCAAGTGGACCTCTTCTGCTGCAGCTCATCTTTGCTTTCCAGAATCCCCTCCCTTTCCAGAACATTTTCCAGACTCAACCTCTGGACTCAGTGCCTGCTCTGGGTGCTGCCTTGGTGTCTCCTATCTTCCTTCTTGGGTTCTGATCTGCCCCAACAGTAGAAAGTCTTCCTAATCAGGACCAGCCAGGAACATGCAAACCCAGGGAATGGTCCCAAATTCCAGACACCTCCCTGTGCCCCTTGCCTGTGCCCTCGAACCCCAGTCCTAGTCCTATCCAGTTTACCGTGTCCATTCAGACCTACAGGATGGCTAGCTCCATCTCCAGCCTTCCTGTCGACTATGTGCCTACCTAGAATCCCCTTCTGCAGGTGCTGCACCCCCAGTCCACTCCCGCATCATAGGAGGCTGGGAGTGTGAGAAGCATTCCCAGCCCTGGCAGGCGGCTGTGTACCACCATGGTTTAGCAGTGTGCGGGGGTGTCCTAGTGCACCCCCAGTGGGTGCTCACAGCTGCCCACTGCCCCAGCAGGTGAGTAGGCTTGGGGTGTAGCTCAGTAGTAGCGCAATTGCCCAGTCTGGGTTCAGTCTCATATACCCTTCTGGCCCCCACAACTATGGGGAGGGCCGGGGCTCTGCAGGAAAAGGAGCTGGGCATTGCCCTTGGATGCTCTTATGGAGGAGGCTGCAAGGGAGAGGAGGAAGATGTTCCAGAGGCTAGAGGAGAGGTGCGGGGCCCCACCACTCAGGGCAGGGCTGCGGGGGTCTCCATCTTTGTGTCATTGTCTCTCCTCCATCCCAGTGTCTCTGCATCTCCCCCTCTCTGTCCATGTCTGGGTGTCTCTGAACTCCTCTGTGTCTGAGTGTGTCCCCCATCTCAGTTTCTCTGGATTGCCATCTCAGTTCCCTCCCCATCACCACTCATCACACTCTCAGGATGGGCTAAGGGACCCCAGGGGAGAGGAACGGGTGCATCCTAACCTGTGTGGGGTGCTCCTCACCCGGCCCGGGGCCCTCCCTGTGGGATGTTTGTCCAGGTGGGAGGCTCAGGAAAGGGCTGCCTGAGCTGGGCTGGGAGGAAGGGAAGGGACAGGGTGGGAGGGGCCGGAGGGCAGAAGTTTCCCTGGCCTTGGGCTGAGGTCCAGGCCGCCTGCTGGGAGCCCTCAGTGCTGCCCAGCTGCAGCCCAGCTGCTCTCAGGCCCCCAAGCCCAGCCTCCTCCTCTCCTTCCCCTGCCCTCTCTCTGGCCCTGGCCTCAGGCTGCTCTGCGTCTCCACCTACATCCTTCCTGCTCCCTGTCCTCCCCTCAGCCTTGTGTCCATCCGTCCTCACACACTCTTTCCCACCTTCACTGCTTACCTTCCTTTGTCCTCTCTCTCACGGTCCTCTGCGGCTGCCTCTTTCCCTCCTTGTCCGTGCTCCCAGTCCACCTCCTGGCCTCCCTCTTCCTGTGCTTTCTCCAACCCATTCTCCACAGCGATAGCCAGGTCTTGCTGGGTCGCCACAACCTGTATGAGGAGGAGAACACAGCCCAGCACATCCACATCAGCTACGCCCTTCCACACCCGCTCTACAACTTGAGCCTCCTGAGGCATGGGTCATCGGGCCTGGAGAACGACTTCAGCCACGACCTGATGCTGCTCCGCCTGGCGGAGTCCGCCAACATCACGGACGCCGTGAAGGCCCTGGACTTGCCCACCGCGCAGCCAGACCTGGGGAGTACATGCCTCGCCTCCGGCTGGGGCAGCACCGAACCAGAGGTAGACCCGTGTAAGTCAGGGCCCAATGGCCACGCAGCAGCACGGAGCCTGCGCACTTGGGTCTAAGGGACTAGGGTGCTGGGGGTGGGGCGGAGTAGGGCGGTCCGGCTGCAGCACCATTTCCTGTGGCCTGCAGTGGTGCTCCCCAGGACTCTGCAGTGTGTGGACCTCAGCCTCCTGTCCAGAGATATGTGTGAGAGCGGCTACTCTATACCGGTGACAGAGTTCATGCTGTGTGCTGGGCACTTGCAGGGTGGCAAAGACTCCTGTGTGGTGAGCCGGGCCCTTGGCAACGTCTTAGGAGAAAGGGCAGAGGGGACCTACTTCTTTGCTGGGATCTGAGTGTTAGCTAACCAGCTGTCCCTGCTCTGCTGTCTACTGGCTGCAACCCAGGAGTTCCTCGGCCTCAGCCCCTCCCTCTTGTCCCTTTCCTGCCCTTCCTCGTCCAGTGGTCGTGCGCTCCTCTGTCCTCACCCCAGCTCCCCACTGCTCATGCCGCATGCTCACAGGCTTCCACCTGGGGCCTGGCACTGCCCTTGAGCCCCAGAAGGCAGTGTGGAGCAGGGATGGCCCTGTGCTGGGAGGTTGGGTGGGAGCAGAAATTAAAAAAAAAAAAAAAATAACGAATAATTGATGGAGAGGTCAGGAGGCGCGCAGTGTGGAGCAGGGAGGAGAGATGGGGCTGGGGGACCTTGTGTGCAGTGAGAGGTGCCAACACCAGACACAGGTGAAGGTGACCTTGTGACACCTAGAGAAAGCACAGGGCAGGGCAGATGCTGAGCTCCTGATGGAGAGGGGCCTGTGGCTGAAGGAGCGGTCAAGCCACAGGCCTGAGCCCAGGGTCCGGTCCTGCCGGGCCTCAGCCGGGGCCACTGGATCTCGCTGCGTTTTTTTCCTCTGCTGATCTAGAGCTGTGGTTGGTGCAGGGCCTGACTCTGCTCACGGCTGACCTCTAGTGCCCGCATGGGGATCAGACTGCAGGATGGGGGGCCAGGAGGGCCTGTGGCTGCCCTGCAGGGTGAGGGTCCTGCAGCTGCTCCTCCCACGACCTGTGTGAGGCCCTGTGCTCCTGGCCCCTGCTCTCAGTGTAGGAGCTGCGCTCTGCCCCGCTTTCCCCTGGTCAGAATGCCAGCCACTGTACCCTGTAGGGATCTCTGACTGCCTTCTGAGAATGGGCTCTGGAGCCAGTTGTCTATTTTTCCACTGCTGGGGAGTTGCACTTAATGGTCAGCGAGCTTGTATCTGACAGAAGGAGTCCTCCTGGCAGACATTAGGGCTGATGTTTCTTGTTCTCTGTCCCTTTAACCCTCAGGGTGACTCGGGGGGCCCGCTCATCTGTAATGGTGTGCTTCAGGGTCTCACGTCCTGGGGCGGTAATCCCTGTGGCCAGCCTGGAAAGCCTGCCCTGTATACCAAGCTGGTGGCTTACCGGGAGTGGATCAAGGACACCATGGCAGCCAACCCCTGAGTGCTCCTGTTCCTCTCTACCTGAAGTAAAATCGAGTCCACACCAAGTTCTGGCATCGTCCTGTGTCCCTTGCCACTGGGCATCTGGAAACTCAGAGTCCACTCACCAGGACCAGAGCCTCCCAGCCCTCCCAGTCTACATCCCGAGGGGTGGGGCCAGGGCTGCAAGGACAGGGAAGTGGAGAGACAGGTGTGCCCCATGGGTCTCTAATGGGTGTAATCTTCTCATCCCCTTTTGTGCCCTTGAGAACTCTATCTCCAGATGGCTCTGAGAGGTCTGGGGACACAGAGTGGACATGGGGGGCTGTGACAGGTGTGTGGTGTGAAGATGGAGCAGGCATGGGACAGTGGATAGTGCCCCGTGATGGATTCTGTCCACCCAGCACAGAGCTGGAGCCGGAAGCACAGTGCCCAGACACCGACGCAGCAAGGGTGGCCTCTAAAACATCACCCCTTGGTCCCTGTGGCCCTGGGAAACCTAAAGAAGACTGTGAGCAGGGTGGGGAGGGCCCAGGGAAGAGACCAGAGCCCTGGGAATCTGATCATTGTGGGAAGTACGTGGAGGTCCTCCATGCCACCCTCAGCCTCCATGGCATTACATCTCACGTGGCTGACCTTAAGTGCTTGGCCCACAGGCTCCCTGGAGCACGACCTGGGGTCCCTGTGGTACACAGACAGGCTCACTGGACTCATGCCATTAGTGTGAGCTTCTGGGCATGGTCCACGGCTCCAGTACATGGAGGCACTGTCGGGCAGAGTTCTGGGCATCAGATGCTGTCTTCTATAAGCCACTTGAAGAAGAGTCCTCCCTGGGGGACGTGGGACTGAGCACTGCGACCTCCTGAGTTAGCCTTTTCTGTATGGGGCTGCACAGAAGGGAGGGATGAGGGAAGCAGCTGGGGTCTGGTCTGGTCCTGGGATCGAGTGCACCAGGAGTTATCCCTGCGACGAGTAAATCTGGAGCTGGGCAGGCACAGTGATCGGTTTCTTTGCCTGCCTCCACATGATCAGCGAGGGACAGGGACAGCTTCCCACTGTGGTTGTGAGATGGCTGGGCACATGCAATCAGAAACAGAGTTAGCCACAGGCATGCACAGCCTGCGGAAGAGCACCCGTGTGCCATGTTGTAGGACAGGATTGCGCTCAGGGTCAGCTTGACGAGAAGGGCTGGGGATCAGGTTTTGTAGCATGGGAGATGGAGGAACCTGGGCGCCCACAGGGGAGTGGGCTTGCTGTGTTTCAGGCATCTCATGGGCTGACAGGGAGTGAAACCCGTGAGGCTGGGGACCTTCTGAGGTGCAGCTGATCCAGCTGATAAGGAGATGGGGTGTCCTGTTGGGTGTGAGTTGTATTTGGCAAGAGCAGGGGATTTTGTGGTCCTTTTGAGGTGCTCCCCATTATAGCTAATAAAGTAGCACAGAACTTCACAGTACATGAATGTAAAAGGACATTTGAGGAAAATAAACACATTTTTAAAGATTGATTTTAATCTGGGTGTGGAGGTGCATGCCTGTAATACCAGCACTCTAAGAGGCTGAAGCAGGAGGATCGCAAGTGTGCGTGAACCCTCACCTCAAAAAATAAAAAGTGCTGGGGACGTAGCTCAGTGCAGAGGCCCTGAGCTCAGGCCACAGTCACACATGCACACACACACGTGCATGCACACACACACACACACACACACACGCATGGGTGCACAGGGTGCACACAATAGATTTCAGACTAAATTAGAAATTAACCTAGCAAGCATACTGACAGAGATTACAGGAGATAATAAGAATATTGAACAGTAAAGCATAAAATAGGACCAAGGATAAAAATTAGGTACAAAAACATAATAGTTGAAACAATGTTTAAAAAAATTATTGATAAGTAGCAGTGTGGAATACAACTGGAGCACACAGTAGTGACTCATAAGGCCAGAAAAATTAAACACATGGCATGGAATATGCAGGCCAGAAGTACAGATGCTGACATTAAACTCTTAGCAGAAATTGGAGAGCTGGCCTGATAGCTCAGCGGACTAAAGCGCCTGCTGAGGCAGAGCGCAGTGGCCGGGGTTTGATCTCTGGCATGCTGTGCTGGTCCCACCCCCGGGGCTCGCTGAGATGGCAATTGAGACTGGGCATGGTGGTGCACGCCTGGAATCCCAGCGCTGTGGAGGCTGAAAACAGGAGAATAATAAGTCCCATCTATGTAGTGAGACCCCGTAATAAATACATTAAAAAAAAAAAAACAAATTGGAGAGGAGGAGGAGGAAGGTCAATAACAATAATATAATTGGAGATAATTTTTTTTTTTTTGTTTGTGCATGGCCTCACTATGTAGCTCAGACTCTTAGTAATCTTCCTGATTTGTGCCTCCCTAGTGCTGGGATTACAGACATGCGCCACCAAGCCCAGACTCTGGAGATGGAATTTATAGAGCTTACATCCTATGAATTTCAGACTTCAAATCCAAAGGGCCCACAGAATGCTGCTATGGATTGGACTTACCCCCTTAGAAAATTTAGGTGATGGGGCCGGGGAGATGGCTCAGTGGAATAAGTGCTTCCCTGGCAAGTGCAAGGGCCTGAGTTCAATCCTCGGTTCTGCAAAAAAAAAAAAAAAAAAGAAAAGAAAAAGAAAATTTTAAAACAGGGCTGTGTGCAAGCTGTCAGTATCCATTCCAGGCCAACGCTGAACAGAGATACTTAATTCATGAAACTTCTTGGATGAGAAGGTTGAGAGCAGCTTCATACTGGTGTTACCTCATCCTGGGGCTGCTTCCCTGCTGGAGGGAGCAACAAGGCGTGCTATATTCCTACTGGTGAAGGTGAGGGCCCTGTGTGCTTCCGCTGAGGTTGTTCCTTGCAAGATGTGGCTGATTCTGCACAAGCCCCACGTGTACCACTGCTCTTTGGGCGTTGGGTTATGACACTCACTACTCATCAACCCCAAGGCAGAGGTGCGGGCCATGGGCTCCGAGGAGGCCTGTCACAGCACACAGTAGCTGTCTTCTTGCTCTGCTCCTATGGAGGACAACTGGGCAATATGGGGTGGTCACAAAATAGGGTAAGCATTTAAATAAAAGAATTGGGGCCGGGGAAATAGCTTAGTAGAATAAGTGCTTGCCTGGCAAGTGCAAGGGCCTGAGTTCAATCCCTGGTTCTGAAAAAAAAAAAAAAGAATATATGTTAGTGAAGGGCACACTGCCATGCATGCCCCTCCTGTGTGCCTTCCTTTTTTTGTGGCTGGCTCAGCCCACCCTTGGGGTGGGACTGGCACAGCATGTGGTACAGGGGATCCAACTGTGGTCCCTGCACACTTGCCTAAGCTTGCCTAAACAGGCGCTTTAGACTGCTGAGCCATCTCACTGGCCCATGTCTTCCTTTCTTTACACACACTTGTCTCATTGTCCGTGCCACTTTCTGCAGCAGCTCTGAAGTCCTCTTTTGTGAGTGTCTTTCAGTTGTGCTGTCACTGCTGCCTTGATGTCCTGATTCCATTCAAAATGTTTACAGTGATTTTTGTCAAATAAAAACACGACCTGGATCCTCATCTCTCTTGTTCCTTGGATCTGGCACCCGGTGGCTTATGACTCTGCCCCAAAGCCAAAATGACCGTGTAAGCTAAATGTTTTGAATGGATTCAGAACATTGATGCAGCCGTGATAGCTCAAATAAAAGACACACAGGAAAGAGGACTTGCAGGGAACTGCTTCAGAAAGTGGCAAGAATGATGTCCCATCACTGTATTTTATGATCACCTCTCTTGGTGTGGAAATGGAAGTTAAGGGGACGAGGTCATGACGGAGGAGTTGTAAAGTTGGATCAGCAGTTTACTGATATGGACTCACAGGTATCTGTGTTTAATCTGGCAGCTCGAGAATCATGACGTGCTCTAGAGTTTGGCTAGTGGAAACAAGGGCCTCAAGGGGACCCGTACTGAAGGAAGCCGGAAGGCCAGACTTACCTCAGTATACTGTGGAGGAAGGGGTTCAGGTCTTTGGGAGATTGGAGCATGGTGGTGGGATTGTCATCTAAGATTTGCTCACCACCTTTGGATGCTCAGAGGATGCAACTTTTGCCACTACTGTGGGGAATGATAGGCCAGGAGCCCCGTCACCCTTTGGGACCACTGCAGCAGTGGCAGTGTGAGCCACCCACTGCCCCTGCACTGGGAGCATCATGCAGCGAGCTCAACTGGATCCTGCAGTGTTAGGGGCCAAGAAGTGCCACCTAATTGCTACACATGGTGGGCACAGTCATGCAGCGGGCAGCAGAGTCCAAGCAGGAGTCAGCACAGGTTGACTTGTAGAGACGTGTGGGCCCTTGGCCCATTGTTGCCCTGGGGACAGATGGCAGTCCCCTACATTCTTACTGATGAGTTCAAGTAAGCAGAGGTCAAAATTGAAATTTACAGAGGTTTTGTCCCCACATCAATTCCCACACTGGAGTTGGTGAACAGGCCTTTGGGAGATTTTTGGGCCCTGACTCTGAGCTGTCAATAATCACAAGATGCTCGAAACATTACTGTGGGGCTGGCCAGATAGCTCAGCAGATTAAAGCACCTGCTTAGGCAGGTGCAGGGACTGGGGTTCAATCCCTGCATGGGGGCCAGCCGCACCCCTGGGGTGAGCTGAGAAGGTGATTGAGACTGGGCGTGGTGGTGCATGCCTATAATCCCAGCACTTGGGAGGCTGAAAACAGGAGAATCACTACGAGTCCATTCTGTGTAGTGAGAGCCTGTAGACCCTGTTCTAAAAAACAAAACCAAAAACAGAACATCACTGTGGTCCCGGAAGTCAGGAGAGAGGCTGACGGGGGCCAGGGGCTTTGTCTAAGATCCTTTGCACAAGCCAGTGTGAGCATCTAGATCTTTGTCTGTTTGGGAAACCGTTCCTTGCTGTGTTCCTGCGGGGATAGTGAGATCAATACAGGCATGAAGGGCTCCGGCCTGGTGGGTCCCGGCACGGCACCGTTCGACTGGCCTCCTGGCCTAGCAGAAAGCAGATGACCTCAGGAGACAAGAGAGGATTACTGTAAACTTCACCAGGCAGTGAGTTCCCTGCACCTGCTTCAAATGTGGTCTCGCTTTGTGAGCAGATTAGCTCATCTCCTGGTGCCTGGTATGTAGCTGTGCATATGGTAAATTTTACTCCCTCAGTACTATTAAAGTTTGTTACCCAAAAGTTTGTTTCCAAGTAATGAGTCTTTATTACTCTTTATTGGTTTTTAAAAATTTTTTAAAATATTTATTTGTGTGTGTGTGTGTGTGTGGCCAGCTCAGTCCACCAGGGGGCGGGGCTGGCTGGCATGTGGTGCTGGGGGATTGAACCGTGGTCCCTTGTGCTTTGCTAAGCTTGTTCTAAGTAGGTGCTTTAGACCACTGAGCCATCCCACTAGCCCTCTTTATTGGCTTTTTACAGTCCAAGGGACTTGTGGTGTCTGTCTGCTGTCATGTCTGGTATTATATTTGATATTTTTTTCAGTACTGGGGATTGAACTCAGGACCTTGTGCTTACCAGGCAGGCACTTACGCTGCTGAGCTATCTCCCTGGCCCATATCTGGTGTTAATAATGTACATCTTCTCATCTTTTTCTCAGTTACCCTGGCTACAGGCTCCATTTTATCTTTTTGAAAGGACTAGGTTTTGTTTGTTGTTTCTCTATTGACTTCCTGTTTTTTTTAAAAAATATTTTTATTGAGAAACAAATAGCAACGAGACAGTTTCACAACCAAGTACTAGCACATTTTCAATAATTAATACATTGCATATTGTTGTCTTAGTGGCTACTCATTGTACAAGATGCAGTACATTGTACGTGATGTCCTGTCTCAAACACTATTAGAACAAACCTCTCTATTCATTGCATTAGGAGAAGGTAGCTGTATATCTATCCTAACTATTTGGTTTCCTTCCCTCCCTCCCTCCCTCCCTCCCTCCCTCCCTCCCTCCCTCTATTCCTTCCTTTTTTTGTGGTATTGAGGATCAAACTCAGGACCTTGTGCTTGCCAGGCAGGCTCTTAAGCTGCTGAGCTGTATCCCCAGCCCTGATTTCCTGTTTTCAATCTCATCAATTTGAGGCCTAATTTTTTTTTAATCACTTTTTGCTCTCCCCAGTTAAATTTAGGCTTCAGGTGCTATCTGGGGACACAGGAAGTTGGGCTTGAGGCTGAAAGGCAGAGGAGTCTGGGAGGGCTTTGGGGATGGAGAAGACCCAGGATGGGAGGGACATGGCCAGCGCCAGATGGGCCGTGGGGCCCTTGGCATCTGTACTGGTGCCTTAGGGTGCAGTGGGTCATTGTGGGGTATGAGATGTGAATCCCAACAAGAACAGCAGGTCGGAGGGCATGGGACAAGGCGGTGAAAGGGCACCTCTGAGGAAGCAGGGGATGTGTCTGTCTAGAGGGACCTGGGCGGGGCTGCAGGCTTAGCCTCAGTCCTTTTGCCCTCCCAGCTGGGCCCCTCTCCCACTTTCTTCTCTAGTGGGCCGGGTGCAGCCACAGTGGTCT